GGGCCATGTGTGGCCTCCCGGATCCCCAAAGTGCCCCTTGCTGTTGTTTGGGGGGTGGCCTAAGCCTCAAAATGAAGACTTTGGATCCACTGAGCCATGAGTAAGAAGACTTGTGGCACTGTGAGTGAGGTCTTCCGGGGGGAGTTGTGTGTCTTTCTTTTTCCCCCCATTGAACCTTTTGAGTGGGACTTTGACCCTGGTTTAGCATGGGGGGGTAGCACCTCTTCCCTTGCGACTCTGAAGCCGAAAAAATGGAGACCTCCGGCCATTTGGGGATTGGAAGCCAGGATCCCACTAGCCCCCTATGCAGGTGAGATGTGTCCCAGTTCATACCCCTTGAACACCTGCTCAGCCCAGCCCACTTTTGTCATGTTTTGAGCCCCATCTATTCTTACTTCTTTTTCTTTTAGGGGCCATGGAGGAGAGTAGACCACCAGGCGTTGCTTTATGTAAACAGAACTGATTTCAGGAGGAGAATAAATAGGAGTAGCACAGCAAGTGTGGCCTTCCAAGGCCTAGCAAAGGTCATCTGTGGACACCTCACACCCCACACCTCGACTTCTGGGATTTACCCATTTTCCCCTTCTGGTCAGAAAACCTGCAGGCCACTCCAGGATGGGAGACATTCTTCCCCCACTAAGAACCTGTCTGGTCTGGGTGTTTGACTTTCTCGAGAGTACCATACCTATGAGCCAACAGTGTGATGTGGCTACAAAAAAGGCAAACCCTATTTCAGGATGCATTAACAGACGTGTTGTCTCCAAATCCCATTATTCAGCACTGGTTAGGCCTCATCTTGAGTCCTGTGTCTCGGTTCTGGACACCACACTTCAAGAAGGATGCCAGCAATTTGGAACAAGTTCAGAGGAGGGTGACAAGGATGATCAGGGGGCTGGAAATCAAGCCCTAGGAGGAAAAACTGAAAGAATGTTTAGCTTTGAGGAACGAGGATGAAGGGAGATAGCAGAGGGTCTTCCATTTCCCTTAGGCTGGTGTAGCTGCCTAATAGAATTGGTGCTGTTTGAGAAATAGAGTTCTGATGGTGGATGGGTTACTTGGGTTTTTGGGATGTTTCTTAGCTGCCCATCGTGCTAATCAGGAGAAAGGTGATATACACAGTGATGACATGTAAACAAGAGTAATTATTATTATCTCGGAGGTGGCTCTGACTTTCTCCTTGTCTTTGCAGGAAAGCAACAAGAGGGCGACCAAGGGAGTGGAAGCCCCTTTCTTCCAAAGTAGCTCAAAGCAGCAGCACCTGGGCTGGCTGGGGAGGGGAATTAAGGGGTCAGCTTGGAGAGGGATTGGATTCAGAAGCGGTGCTAACGGATACAACACCCCTCCACCCAGTTTTCTCCTCCACGTGGTGACCTAGAAACAGGGGACTATTTCCAGACTTACGCTTTCTTTGGTCAGCGAATCAACCCCCCGCCAGGAACTGAAGATGCCCCCCCCGAGAGCGGTTCCAGCCCACCTTCTGGGGCTCATGGGTTAAATTGTCCTTTCGGGATCCAGAGGAAGCAGGGCAGAGCGGGTGACACAGCCAAGTGGAAGCGAACACCTGAGTTTTGCTGCCAGATTAGCCTTGGGGTTGAGATGATCTTCCTTCTGGTTTCATTCATTCATTGATTCATTGATTCATTCATTGATTCATTCATTGATTCATTGATTCATTCATTCACTCATTCACTCATTCATTCAATTTGTATTCTGCTCTCATTAGTATTGCACCACTACTCTGGGCAGGTTGCAACTCATAAATTAGAAAACAAAAACAAAAATAGAGATATTAAAAAGAAAAAAAAGCCAAAAAAAAAAACCCAACCCGCCAAAAAAAAAAAAAAAAAAAAAAAAACAGATGGCACCAACTAATCCCAGAGTGGATGGAGGAAAAGAGGAGAGGGAAGAAGAGGAGAGCAAAGAAAACAAGTCGGGGAAGGAGGTCAGCTGGGGCCAGTGTGAAAAATCTCCCTGAAAAGCCATGTCTTTAATTCCTTCCTCAAAGTCACACAATTAAAGCATTACAATCGACGTTCTCAAAAAGTGCAGGGATCACCGTGAATCGGTGCACTACGGGGCGCACACAAGTGGATTGTGCACCACTCTGATTTTCTTTTAGCCAGAGTAAAACTAGCTTTAGCCCAGCATCACGTGAACCCCAGGTGAAAGGGTATCTTCTCTCACCGGCACAAGGGGAGTGAAACCCATGGTCAGTGCAGATGGGCCCTTCACAGCTGCATCATGCAGAAAAGGTGAAGGGGCACCCCTGAAATAGAAAAGGGGGAGGAAGAACCAACGGACTAGAAAACGCCTGTATTCAGACTTTGCTCGTCTTAATATGGTCCTACCATTGCCCTGCCATGAAGCCGAGTGAGATGATCATCTGAAGCAGCAGGTTCTGCCGCAAGTGGGAGTGAACATATCCAGGAGGTCTCTTAATTCAACGTGTTGCCATGAGGGTGAAGCAGATAACAATAACTACAACTACTACAAGAACAGCAACTCCTGGAGTGAGCTAAATATGCTGAGCCCAGAACATGCTGAGAACCTTCTCTGGGGCAAGGGATAGCATGCCGGCTGGTATTCGCCTAGTTATCTTGGGAAACAGACTGTGACCAGAACTGAAGCGTCAATCGCAGTTTCCAGGGGATGGCTGAAATCCTCTTGCTTCACAGCATATGTTGCATTAGTGTGGCTCGTTGAAGCAAGTGGGGATCGGGGGAGTCAACTCCTCTGTAGGGCCAATGGATCCAGATGGATCTACTTGGGTTGCTACTTGTTTTGGGAAAGGAAGCAAAAACTAGAGTACTAGAGTAGGACCACTTGAATCAATGGAACCTATGCAGTTGACTCACCAAAACCCTACGGATACAATGGGCCTGCTCTAGCACAACTTACTACACTAAGCCAAAGGATTTAAGCGTGTGTGCTCTTTAATATTTGAAATCCCCTCAAACATGGACAACATGTGGAAGCTGAGAAAATGAATGAATAAACAGGAAGGTTAGTGATAGAAATATGAAATCAAAGGAAAAAACCCTTCTCAAATGTTTTTCCCTTAAAAAAAATATATTTTCTTCATACCTGAATCTCTCTTTTGCTCTGAACTACAAACTCCAGACTTCCCTGCAAATCTTTGGATAATTCTTGGCAGGTGGTTCAATTTCAAGGTGGGAATGTGGGCATGATAAAAGGAAAAAGAGAAGGGAGGAGTTGTAATGAGTCACCAGCAGAAGGAAACACAGACTTCCAGACCACCATCACCACCTTAGCCAGATATGGGTGCTGGCTTTTGCTCTGTTTCTTGCTGCTAGAAATTCTCCCCTGGGTGAGTCCTCTTTTGATTCCTTTCCCCCAAACTTTCTGCTTCTCTGTAGCTGGATTGAGAGCTTTCCTGGGCAGTTGGGCATCACCTTGCTAGGTAAGAGGAAAATATGGGGCTTCTGAAAGAGAACAAAAGGTGAAACAGAGGAGATAACTTTGCAATAGGCGAATATTGCCAGAGGGAGACTGTCGCTATGTATCACACCCTTGTGGTGGGGTTGGAGAAAGGGTTCTCTTCTAGGGATGTCCCCTTTGGATGCCAGTTCCCAGAATTCCTGAATCTGAGATTTCTGTTTCAGAGACACCTTCAGACACATGTATTTTTTTCATCTCTAGCAGGGCTGCTTACGTCATTCATTTTCTGTTGCAATGCCTCCTGGGTGTAATCTTGCAGCTCTTTTGTTTCTAGAGACCAGTGGTCTCCAACCTTGGGCCTCCAGATATTTTTGAACTTCAACTCCCAGAAATCCTGGCCAGCAGAGGTGATGGTATAGAGAGTGTCTTCCAAAAAACTACACTGCACTGGGATTTGGGGGGCAGGAACTGGAGACCTATAGTGCAGCCTCTGAAGACTAGGCCTTGAGGTCTAGAAATTGAAGGTGTCTGCAATTGTATAGGAGGGATTCTGGGATAATTTGGAGAGTAGGAGTGGAAGAAATCCAAATGCCACATCCTTATTATTTTCTCTTAATGGGTTAAGGTGGTAGCATTATGACTTCTATCTATGAACACCTGAATTAGATTCTCCCTTCGAAGGCAAATGAACATATAAATGAGGTTAGGGCTCGTGTCCCGACTGTTACTCTAAAAAGCTTCTGCTCTGTTGTTAAAGGTGACAGATGAAGGTCGACCTTTGATCAACACCCATGGAAAGAGAGGCTCCTCTTAAGGATGAACAGAAGCAGCTACAAGCAGGAGCCAACCAAAAAGAGGATGAGGCAGATGAAGCTCCTTTTCTCCGTTCAGAGGCCCCTCAGAATATAAAAGGTATATATATAGAGAGAGAGTCTTTCCTCCTAGGGCTTGGCTTCCAGTCCCCTGATCACTCTTGTTGCTCTTTTCTCAACTGGCTCCAGCTTGTTGGCATCCCTTTTAAAGTGACCGGAAGTGGAGCTGGAACTCAATATGAGGCCTAACCAGTGCTGAATAGAGGAGAACTAGTGCCTCATGGGATTTGGAGACTATCCTTGTGGATTAAAATACCATTTGCCTTTTTTTTTGCAGCCAGCTCGCACTCTTGGTTCATATTACATAACAATTCCAAAATCCTCCTCACTCATAATATTACTGAATCAAGTATCCCCCATCTTATAACTGTTCATTTGTGTGGGGTTTTCTTACCCTAGGTGGAGAGAACTTTGCACTTCTCCCTGTGAAATTTCATTCTGTTGCTTTCAGCCCAATGCTTGAGCTTATCAAGATCTGTTTGAATTTTGTTCCTTTCTTTCAGGGTATTACCACTCACTTGTTAGCCACTGAACCTCTTGTGTCTTTAGCTAAACCTAAAAACTGGCCTCCCGGACCAAACTCTGGGAGGCAGTGTAAGACAAGAGAGCCTGGCGTACTCTGGTCCATATGGGTCATGAAGAGTCAGACACGACTAAACAACAAAAACAAATTTTAGGAAAGGAATATGAGAAGGATTTCCTGAATACGAAACAGGTTGCTGAATGCAATAAACTTTTTTCACTGGCACCTTTTCCCCCTTAAACCCTCTAGATCCTCAATTCACTATTAATTCTCTCCTTTGAGCAGATGAGGGAAAAGAGGAGGAATTAAGACTACAGGGAACATTGCCAGAAAGAGGGGAGGATGAAAATGAGAACTGTTGGGAAGGAAATGAATCCCTGAGGCAAAATCAGGCAGATCAGAGGAGAGACAGAACTTGCAGATATCCGAGCGGCGATGCCTCTGAAGACAAAATGGGGAAAACAACAAGGAGGAGCATCAATGCTCTTCAAAGCTCAGAGTATCAACAAAACATCCCTCTGAAGAAAAGACCAGTGAAATGTCCAACATGTCAGGCTGAGATAAATCTGTGTGACTGTTTGGAGGATGGAGAAAGTTTCAGATGGAGCCCAGAAGATACAAGATTTCACACAGGGGAGGAAAACAAATGCTTTAGCTCTGACCTTGAAGCACCTCAACCAATGCATTCTAAAGAGAAAGTCTATAAGTGCATACAGTGTGGCATGAGCTTCAAGAGAAGTTCAGAACTTAAGAGACATCAAAGAATACACACTGAGCAGAAAACATACAAATGTCCTGAATGTGGACAGGCCTTCAGACGCATTTCACATCTTCAAGTACATCAGCGAATTCATACAGGAGAGAAGCCCTTTATATGCAAAGAATGTGGGGAAACGTTCAGCCAGAAGGCAAGCCTTGTAGTACATCAACGAATTCATACAGGAGAGAAACCCTATAAATGTGAAGAATGTGGCAGGGATTTCAGCCAAATTGGAAGCCTTATAATACATCAAAAAATTCATCAAAGAGAAAAACCCTATGCATGCAAATAATGTGGAAAATGTTTCAGTCATTCCTCAGCTTTTAAATTCATTCAAGAGAAAAACTCTATGCATGCAAAGAATGTGGGAAAAAGTTCAGCCGGAAGGCAAACCTTGTAGTAGATCAGCAAATTTATATAGGAGAGAAACCCTGTCAGTATGAAGAATGTGAGAAAAGCTACACAGTTGGGTCAACCTTAAGAAAACATCATAAAGGAGAGAAATCTGTTCAGCTCAACGAATGTAGGAAGAGGTTCACCAAATACTCAAACATCACAGTACATCAACCAATTTACTCAGGAGAAAAACTCTATACATGCAAAGAGTGTGGTAAAAATTTCAACCAGCTCTCAGATTTTAAATTTCATCAGCTTCTGTCTGAACAAAGATCCTGGGGAACAAACAAATTCATTCAGGAGAAAATCTCTATCAGTGCAAAGAATGTGGGGAAATCTTCCTTTGTAGAGCCAATCCTATTAGACATCGACAGATGTACAGAGAGGGAAAACTTTGAAATCATCACTAAATTATCTCCTTCAACTCCATCAACCTGTCTGTCTTGGGAAGAAACTGAAGAGAGAGGTTCCTGCCACAGTGAGAGCCTAGTTTTCGAATTATACCTTTATGAATCTGTGAATGCATGTAAGACAACAGACTTTATGGTGCCCTCAAATGTGGGAATCCCCTCCACGGAAATCTTCTTTTCCTCCAAAAGATACATAAAAGCCACATTCCTGATGGCATTTTACAACAATAAGGAGATAGTGAACAGGGGTGGTGTTGTGAGTGGACTCTTTCGTGTGTTTTAAGATAATTGTCAAAGGAGGATGTAATATGTGTAACTCCCTGCCTTCTGGTCTGTGATCTTAAAAAATATTTCAAACCTAAAGTTTTGCTGAGATAGTTTTAATAGGAGTCTAACTTTATCATTTTACAAAAATTGCCTTGAAATTGAAATAAATATTTAGACTGGAATAAGGCCTCTTTAGTTGAGTTATTATTATAAAAGGGATCCTGAGAGGATGAGTGTTGATAATTTTGAGCATATTTGCATGAAAGATCGTTAAAAAGTTTGTGTAAGGAATGCAACCCTAAAAGGATGTTCAAGGAGTGGTGTCAACATTATCAAAACACACTGTTGAACAATAGGGGAAAACCTACAAGCAGGGTTAATAATATGACACTGAAAGAAGGACCTCGGAGCACAATGAGGCTTTATAACACCCCTTTGGTTGTTTGAGTCTGAGGTAGTCCGTTACAGTTGACCTTTATTCCTGCAGGGGTTGATTCTAGTGTGAAACCAGATACCAGTCTCTTTCTCTCTCTCACACACACACACACACAGAGAGAGAGAGAGAGAGAGAGAGTTTCCATAGCCAAGGAGGAATACAGTATCTAGTCTCGAGATGGAGCCCCACATTCTGTCACCTCCATCACTTATGGACTGAGGTTGTTGTCCACAAAATATGGAAGTCTTGTTCCTGTACAACACCTTAATGTTGAAAAACATGTGTCTCCATGAAGATGGAGGGAGCCAGTGGCAGGGCTTAGTTTTTGAAGGAACACAAAGTCTCCGTGTGTGTTATGCTCTAGAGGGGGTACCTGTCAGGAAGCTACCGGACAGCTAATGCTTTGTAGCTCCCACAGAACTTAGCCTCTTTTAGTCCCTTCCTCTGTCTCTATGGAGAGTTATCCTCTCTGAGGTGGGACCTTCATTCCTCAGCTGGTGTGTAGGCATCCTTCAGTCTCAAGGGACTATGTTAATGTGCTCTGTATGGAGGTCTTGGGACAGTGCCTTGTGTGGCCGAGAAGGCCAATTAGAGAGTGACAATCCCTTCCATGCTGAAGACAAATACAATCTGCCCACTGTCCAGCTCCCTGATTTTGCTGGTTTCGGGACTGCCTCTTTGCCTCAGCCTGCTGAAAAAGTGCCTCTTCAAATTGGGAGAGGCCATGCTGCAGTGCCCGCCTCCAGGCTGAACGCTCAGATGTCAAGCTTGAGCCCAAGTTGAGGTCCATTCCTAAGGCCTTCAGATCCTGCTTGCAGATCACTTTGTATCGCAGCTGTGGTCTCCCTCTAGGGCACTTTCCCTGCACTAATTCTACATAAAGTAGATCTTTTGGAATCCAACCATCAGCCATTCTCATGACATGCCTGAGCTAAAGTAGACATCGCTGTTTCAGTAATGTTTACTTAATTATACATTATGTATTCCTCAGCTATCAATGGTTCAAAACATCAGAGAGTAATGTGGATGTTTTGGCAAAAGCACTAGAGATGGGCACAAGGAGTTTGTTATGCTTTGGCCCAATTAGTCCATGTGGCAACACAGCTGCTCTGTGCCTCCTCATCACGTGAATCTCCAGTCTGGAAGGGAATCCAGACTTCCCTGCCCGACCTCCTCCCACAGCTGACCACTCAGATGAGGAGGTGGGATGGAGATACTCCCTGCACGGCTGTCGAGTGGTCAGCTTCCAGAGGAGGCGGGGCAGGGAAACCTCGGCTCCTGCCTACACTGGAGAATCATGTGATGGGGAGGCACGGAGCAGCATGTGTCAGCTGGTGTGTGGAAGTGCCAGTGAGGGGGTGGGGGAAAGGCAGCTTTGCTGCCACACAGACAAAGCATGAGAAAGCACTTCATGCCCACCTCTAAAAAAAGACTGAGGTAGGTGACATTGCACGAGAGTTAATGTTTCTGGTAGTTTCTCATCGGAGTCAATTCACTTCCAAAAGTTACTGTATTTTTCCATGTATAAGATGACACTTTTCCATAAAATCATTACGCTAAAACTTGAGGGGTGTCGGAGGCAGGTGGCCTCTTTCCTGACTGGATGCATGATCTACCTGGGCCCCTGTGGCTTCTCGGGACAGCGGCCCTCCTGCTGGCTGGAGGCGAGTCTCTCTGAGGAGGAATCAGGAAGCAGGATCTGAACTCAGCCCTGGGTCTGCCTGGGAGGGGTGTTGTGCCACCTGTCGCTCTCCCATGGGAGAAATCCATTGTGCAAATGAACATTGCCTTGCCTGACGTGTGTCTTGTAAGCCCTCCGACGGGAGAATCCTCACAGCTTGGCTTCCCCTTTTATCTTGCCAGTTCCAGGAAGTGTCGCTGTCTCTGGAGACCTGGGTTCCTTCCCGGGATTGTGCAAATGAATGCCCCATTGCCTGACTTGTGTCTTGTAAGCCCTCCGACGGGAGAATCCTCACAGCTTGGCTTCCCCTTTTATCTTGCCAGTTCCAGGAAGTGTCGCTGTCTCTGGAGACCTGGGTTCGAATCCTTCCCGGGCCAGTATGTGTCTGAGGGGCAATGGCACCAGTAAATTTCCTCTTTAAATATTTCACATACCTGGAATCCCCTGTTCAGGTCACTGTAATTCAGCCGTGACACCTTATAAAGGTTAAGAGTACATCGCCGCCTGTTTTTTTTTTTTGGCGCCCAAATTCACGCTACTCTTGTGCAATGGAGGGGAAAAAATCATCACCAGCCACTTCTCCAAGGAGATTTCCCACTGAAAGTTACACTACTGAGCTGAAGGCCCCTGAGGAAGTGTTAGTAAAGTCAGGCCATTAAATATATTGCAGGAGGATGTACCAGGAAGTGGACGCCACACCACAAAATCCTACATCACAGAATAATTTTTTCACTGTTTTAAAGTGCCACAAAACCTATTGGTATAATTTATTTACGTGCTGCCATTCTCCCAAGATATCCAGAGTGGCTTACGGTATTAGAAGAAACAAAGTTAAAAGCCAAATAATAAATAATTGTAATCTTTAAAATGCATTAGACAACTATCGTATTAAGACTTGAAGGGCTCCAGTTAATACATACAATATATATTATTTAGTATCCGTACGTACGTACGTACGTACGTACATACATACATACATACATACATATATACATACATACATACATACATACACACATACATACATACATACATACATACATTCCCCCACCTTCTCCACACCCCTTTGCTTCCCTTTTTTCAGTTTGAAGTTATAAAAATGTGTATTCTGTAACAAAGGGGCACGCTTCTTCTCTGCATGTTTTCTGTGTGTGAAGTTTGCGCTGATTTGCTGGCTTTCAGCTGAAAATAAACAAATATCTATTGGATCTCTCTGTCTCTGGCTGATTGATGAATGTGTTACAGACAGGCAGAAATTAAGGAATTAGTGCTGTGGACCCTTCATTGATTAATCTTGGGAGTCTTTAGACATAGTAAGAGCAATATTAAAACCACAAAGACAGAATTCTTCCTTTAAATATCCCCTTGGCCTTGGAATGATGATGATTACCTGGGGAACTCCTTTTCTGCCGCTCTTTCAGAACAGGCAGAGCCCAACATCGGAGTTTCCCTAATAAAATGGTAGGCCATGTGCGGCCTCCCGAATCCCCAAAGTGCCCCTTGCTGTTGTTGGGGGGGGTGGCCCAAGCATATTAACCCCATGCTCCAGAAGGAAACAATTCAGGCTGCAGGGGTTGAGCACTACTTAGGCCTTATTCTGTATGGCATTTATGTTTCTCCTGTCACTTTGGTGTCTCACGGGAGTAAGACCCCCAAAATGTTCTGCGTGGGCTTCTTCTAGCCCCGCCGCTTGCCTTTTGTTGCTGAGAGTCGGCCGCTATGAGGTCAGGAGCCCGAAATGGCACATCACCCCCTTTTCCTTTGCTCTCCCCACTTTGCAGGTCCCTTTACCTCCCATGCCCACCACACCTCGCACTATTTTTTCACCAGGATGTCAGAGCCCAGCCAAGGGCTGCCTTATTTCACCATCATGGGTTACCTGGCTGACCAGCTGTTTGTCTGGTATGACAGCGACGCCAGGAAGGATCTGCCCCCTGTGCGTCCTGGATCCGGAAAGTGGAAGAAGAACCCCCAGGATTGGGACTGGAAGACCCAGTTCTCCCGGAGCTGGGAGTTTTCCTTCTGGGTGACCCCGTGGAGCTGCTTTAACCACAACCAGGGTGAGTGGAGGAGAAGGTTGTGTGTCTGGAGGGCAGGCTGCATCACCCAGAGTAGCTGCCTGACTACAAACCCCAGAATCCCCAAAGAGTGATGTTATCAAAAAGTATTACCCACTTGTGTATTTTACATCTGTTTTTCCCCCTGGATGAACACAGCTGTTTCTCTTGTTTTTATATCTGCCAGGAGTGACCCAGAGCGTTGTTTGCTGAGTTGTCAATCAAAAATTAAAACAGAAATGGGTTTTGGAACACTGTGCGTGTGTCCCTTCTACTTTTCCTACAACGTGGCTGGCTTTCTGCAACTTGGCCCCTTCTGTATGTGTTGAATCACAACTCCCGTTCTCCTCACCTACTGAAATAGCCATCTCATATGGCGGGTCACAAGGCAACAGATCAAAGAGGTGCTGAGAGGCAACTTTTATATAAACCTAATTTCTACTGCATGTAGAAGTTCTGATTCTGAAAGCTCTGAATATGGTGTGGTTTCCCCAAAAGCCTGCATGGTCATTAGAACATCTTCTGGGATGTTCAAAAGCAACAGAGTCTCAGATTTTAAGACGCTGAAAAACCCACATAGGTCTACCCCAATTGATTCAAGAAATCCACAGCTGAAATATTTCTAGGGTTAGAAATTCTGGTGGTCTTAAACATTCTCTAAAATGAAGATGAAAGAGATTCCCACACAGTTCCTGTGTATCTACGCACAAAATAGGCAAGTGTT